ACTTAGCATCAATGAGGAGATGAAGCCCCAGGGGAAATGGGAAGAGGAGAACCTGATGATGCAGGGATTACAACAGCAGGTGTGTGCCATTATTCAGGAGCAGGAGCAAAGCTCTGCTTTCTTCTCCCAGTCTGCTTGGGCCTGCAGGAGAATGAGTTTACACAAGAGGATAATAGGAAGGCTGTGGCGATGGTTCAGTGCTTAAGAGCTTCTGGAGGACCTACGCTCCATTCCCAGCACCCACATGGTAGCTCACAACCATCTGTAACTCTAGCCTCAGGGGAGTTCACTCCCTTCCTCTTTCTGGCTGCAGAGGGCATTGGGTGTGCATACATAAATGCAGGCAAATATTAAACAAGTTTTACTGACATGGGAGACCTGTAGAAACACAGTCAACACTTCTAAGTTAAGATGTATTTTTTTAAAGATTTATTTATTTATTATGTATACAGTGTTCTGTTTTGCATGTATCCCTGCAGGCCAGAAGAGAGAGCCAGATCTCATTACAGATGGTTATAAGCCACCATATGGGTGCTGGGAATTGAACTCAGGACCTCTGGAAGAACAGCCAGTGTTCTTAACCTCTGAGCCATCTCTCCAGCCCAAGAGGTATCTTAACAAGGTCTACACAGAGTTCTCTGTCCCAACTCTGTCCTTTGTTGAGTCAGCCTTGCTACATAACCCTGTGCTTACTGAATATAGCCCAGACCAGCTGTGGATTCTCATCTTCCTGCCTCAGCCCTTAAGTGCTGGATCTTCTTGTCCTTGAGGTGACCTTTGCCTGTTGCCACACCAAGGTCTCATGCCTCAGGAGGCATGAGGCAGGAACATGAGTGAGTGAGGCTGGCCCGGGACACACACTCAGCCAGTGTTCTCAAAAAGAACACTATCACTCACATGAAAACTTCATTCTGCTTTTAAGAAACAAAATCCAGTGATCTTCAAGTCCCTGCTGGGTTTGTTTGAATGTGCCTTTAATTTACCATCGCATGAGGCAGGGTAGAAGGGAAAATTGTGTGATCATGGGAAGGGAGAGGCTCTGTCAGGACTGGAATCTGGTGGAGCCCTCTCAGCAGCTGAGAAACAAGAATTCCAGCACTATTAACATTTACTGAAGGTTGCTGACATAGAGACAATGTTCCTTTCCTAGAGAGATGTTTCAGGTAAGAATACTAAGACAGCCAAGAACCTACCTGTATCCCAAGGCATGAGGATGCAGGCTTAGTATTTTTCTCTTTCTCCGCTATAAACCTGCAACTTTCCAGTAATCTCCTAAGAACAGCCTTTTACAGTACAAGGTGCATCTTAACACCCTGTCCAAACTTTGCTGATCCCTGGTTTTCCCTTATCAGATTGCAATTGTATGCAAAGCATCTAGGGGAGGAGCTGCCCTAGAATCTCACCTACTGCAAAGAGGGAGGTGGGGGGGCACCCCTGAGAAAC